CACTCCTAAGTGACAAGTTGTCGTTTTTTGGGGGTTTTTTTTGGTGAAACCTGGGATCCATGGATTGGGTACCTTTCCACTCCCTCCTGAGAGAGAGTGGATGTTCCATATACAGGTGGGATAGGGTGCACTCTTTCTTTCCTCTTCTCCCTTAAGGGGTCTTTTATCCCCTTTGTTCTCTCCTTTCCCTTTTTATCTCCTTCTCTCCTTTCCCTTTTTATCTCCTACTTTTCTATGTGTTCTTGCAACATGGCCATTTGGCTGACAATTACGGCTCACTGTGTAGTCCGATTGGACCGTCAGCCCTAACGTGGTGAGAGAGAATTCCTTCCACGGTAATACTGCTACGAATATATCATGCCGCTCGCATGTAATATGAAAGTTCAGTATAGGTTGGAACTGTTTTTATTATAATGTTTTGATTCTCATTCTCCACACACAAACTTTTCAGAGGATGGATCAGATTTATGCTGGGGTTCCAAATACTTGATTGTTCCTCCATCTAGCTCTAAACACAGTGTGGAAAAATGGCCTGTACAAGAAAATAATCTTGATTTTTGTTTTTTATATTAATATGTATTCTTGTACACATTCAGACTGTTACTTATACCTAATGCCTCTATGTTGGCTTTTGTACTTTTTTTTTTTTTGTATAGAAAAGAGAAATACTTTTGGAAAACAATATTTTCGAGCATGATGGTTACTAGATTTGTTCAAGTGCGACCTTTGCGATCCTGGTAGTTCCGACACTGGTGTTGGTAGTTTATTTTATTTTTAACCATTTTATTTTTTTTTATATTTATTATTTTTATGCACTTTTATCTCACCTTTGAGACAGAGAAAGGAGATTGAGGACACATCCTCAGCAGCACAGAATGAATAGACAGAAATGGCTCTGTACAGAGCTTCCCATGCATTTATAAACTAAAGTGTAGTAAACACTGTTTACTGTGCCTCAGTTATGATTAGACAAAGTCAGTGATCAGTACCGATCACTGACTGTCCATTCAGACAAGGAAGGGTCTGGTAAATTACATGAGAATGGCTCCTTCCCCATTCTCCATCCTGACAGATCTCCCACTGCAGCCGTTGGGAGGGAGTACACAGGGGCCCCGAGAGAGGACAGTGTCCCGGGAGCAGCAGAAAGAAGATGGAGAGGAGGGGCAATATATAGAGGAACTGATCTGTCCATATCTCTCCTACAGCCGCTGAATGTCTGCAGGACGGAAAGGAGGAGGAGCATGCATTCAGTGGTGGCAGGAGTGAAATAGACGGATCGGGTCCTCTATAGGCTGCCCCCACCACCCCCTCCTACTCAGGTGGCCCTGGCCTACTGGGCAAATGCACGGTTTGCCCTATGGCCAGCCTGGGCCTGATCACTATGACCCATGAGACTAAATGTTCAGTGTTGACTGGCTGTTGCGAGCAGTGTCTTCAAGATGATACAGTTTGATGAGTTGCATAAAGATTTTGCAGATGCTAAGTGCAGGAAGAAAGACTTTTCGTAAATATTGTGGTGTGGTGTTTTTTTTTTTTTTTTGTTATTATTTTTTTTTTTGTTTTTTTGCTTTTTTTTTTTTACACATGCGGTTTAGCCATATTGTGGGATCCCCCCAACTTGAAGTGCCTCAGGTCCCCCAAGGTCTAAATCCAGTACGGTTTACAGGGCACAGTGAAAACAAATGAAAATGTGTGAGAATCTTAACAAAGTAAATTTACAAACTTCAAGATCATTCAGATTAATATGTATAGGCTAGAAATAATTAAAATACAATGTCAAATATAATTATTTTAAATTTTGACCATAGACACACTTTAAATGAATCCAGATCACTTAAGCACATTTAGAAAAATATATTTCTTTTATTATTTTTAAAATACACAAGTTACCCATTAGCAACAAATACAATGATAAATGTTTTACGAAAGGCTTCAAAAAAAAATTAGAGAAATAGTAATTAGGGCTAAACATCATGAACATGTTTCAGCTATGCTATCACATGATTTAAAATCACCTGTGATTAGAATCTTAGGCTAGTTTCATATAGTAACATACTTTACCAGAATGCACACATTTTTTAAAATTATGAATGGAACTCCAATGTACCTGTGTTGCAGTATAATGCACTCCCATGCAGTGTGGTGTTCTGCATCAGAAAAACAGTGCATATGCATTTTCTGTTGTGTTGTGGTGCATTAGCAGTCTATTTTAAATATGGGCTGCTCTAACACAATGCACAATAATGAGCATTAACGCATTGGAGTGGACCACACAAATGGTAATAAGGGCCTAAATGTAAAACAACTGAAGTTAATGGAAGAAGACCACATACACTTAATAAGACTGTGTTGTACAAATGGTATTGACACAGTTGTTTAACAATCTCACTTATGGAAACTGAAAGAGAGGAGGGACTTAGAGGATCCATTGTCACTATGGCACCAATGGCATCTCCTAAGTTGGAAAACTCAATTCATCTCTGCTAACCGAGCAGTGATGATGAGATATCAAACTTTATCTGTGAGATTATCATTAAGAATTTCCTGCTATGCATTCAAAAGCTGATATCCGGAAAAGGAAGATCTTTTATGAACCATTAAGATTATCAGATTTTTATATATATGGACTGCTTGAAGTATATCTGTCAAAAGAAAAATACAGAGGCTGTCACTGCTTATCTCTATTTGAATATTCCAGTTACCTGGTTCCATATCATCACTTACCCACAAACAATGTCCAGATCAGGAAGGTTAAAAAAAAAAGGTCCAAAGTTCTTATCTTCACTGACTCAAAGTATTAAAGCAAGAGGATAAGCACTACAGACCAGCAACTGGCATTTTCAAAAAGAAGAGATCAGCAGTGGCAGCCTCCATGTTTTTATGACTACATAGCATTCATTTCATTAGTAGACTAATGTAAGCTAATTACACAACAATTAGCCGAATGCCGTGCAGCTTATCCTATAAAGTATTTTTTTTTTTTTTTTTTTTTTTTGGCTTTACAATTAGGCAGTGACAGAACAGTTAAATCATGAACACAGTTTAGTCCTTAAGGGGAAAGCATTAAAATATCTATTCAGATAGTTGTATTGATTAAAGTGGAATGTACATAATTTTTTTCTGTGCTAGTGGCGTATGCTTATCATTTCTACCTGCAGAGATAGTGTAAATGATGGGTTTTTTTTTTTTCTTACCACTATGCATTTATTTGAGAGAAACACGGGGGGGACGCAAAATGTTGACCTCCTTCTGAAGATGCTATTTGCCTGGCTATTACACAAACTACAGGCTTCAGTACGTTCACTGTCACTAACCTAGGACAAGCATGCAGATCCGACAAATCGGAAGGGAATCAATAGTTCCTATCTCCACGATTGTTCTGGGTTAGTGACTCAAAGTGTTGAAGCAACAGTGTCAGAATGACAGCCACCCAGCCAGCTAGGATTTGCGGAATAAGTCACCAACGGTGGCTTCCATATTCTTCTAAGGAAGGGGTCTGTGCACACTTTTTTGGAAGGCCACGACAGGGAAGGATTAGACTGGGTTGCTTCTTGTCTCTCAAAGCAAAAATAGAACAGATGAGAGAACCTTTTGTGCCAGTGTGCATAGACCCTAAATTAATTGCTCCCCTCTGTAAAACAGTCTTATATCAGACAAAAAGATTTATGTATAATTTTCATAAAAATATAAATCTGGTGAACTGTTGTATGTGCTGAATAATTTCATAGTACAATTTTAACAAAATCAAAACAACTGAAAAACAATTTACATTCTGAAAGCTATACATTATCAGCAGTGCACTTGGTGTACATAAGGCTATAGTGACTATAATCTCTATTCATCTACTTATTCCATGATTTTTTTTGGGTTATTTAAACAAGGTTCAGCAGCAGATTTATTTGAGGAAAGGGACGACAACGCATTGGAGTTAAACATGATGAACGCCAAGTTCTGAGGCCCATGAGCTACGTTGCAGATTAAGAATTCTGTGACAGGAAAAGGGTTTTTTTTTACACAGCTTTATGCTTCCAAGTTCACCAATATGTAACAGTCGACCGTCATACATGGATGAGACCAGTGCACACACTACTTTCATGTATCCTTTCCTCCATGTTAGTCTTTGGTTGGTGGCCAATGGCCATGGTAACAAAGAGGACATTTCTGATCAACAAATTGAGTAGGTACACAAAGCCATTTAGTCCCATACTTTTTCTTTCTCATGATCACTAAAGCAGATTAAGACCCATCAACCTAAAGTAAGAGAAGTTTGATCTAGTCTAGTCATGCCATATATACCACCAATCTTATTTTTCTTATGTGAATAATAGCGGAATATGAAAACTTGAATTATTCCTTTGTTTGCCATGTCCACCTGTATCTATGTACACAACATCAACCATAAATCAACAATATAGAAAAAAAATGTGTTGGAACCAATTAGGCAGAGTACACCTTAATAATATAATTACATTACATCCCTACAACTAACTTACTATAGTGGTAATGCATATGTTTAGTATTTACCTTTCTACAACTGTTGGCCTTGCCTGTTTTTGAGCAATCATTCAATGAAGCATGATAGTATTTTCTTTATTGTCATTTCTGTGTAATGTTAGTAAGAGACTTGGAGAATTCTCATATTTCTTCCCTTTCCCTAGCTTTGACTTATTTGTTGGAGCAGCAGCATCCTAAAAATGTCAGTAATAAGTTGTACATGGTTACATACGTCTAGGAGCTCTGAATGCCACAAAACTATGCAAAGCATCTTTTGTCTCCCATGCATTCTTGTTCATCAGTGATATTTCACTGCATAGGGAAACATTATTTCCAGTAGCTAAAGCATGGATAATATGGGGAGTCAGTGCACAAGAGGTAGTTCCTCTATTTCTTGGCTTTCTAAGTTTGGCAAAGCTTAACCCTCCCTTTTTAGTGTACCCCATGCCAGTAGGCAGTCATCCCACCCTGCCCTGTCCACTTTTGATTTTCTTCTTCCATACGCCTCACATTTTGGACAACCTCACATCATAGGTAACCATGTTATAATTGTCCCAGCCATAAATTTTCTTTTCTCTGGGGTTGTAGTCCACCATACTGCCATAGCTATACTGATTCCTAAATGGGACACTGATTTGCTTTTGAATACCAGTATGAGTGTCATAAGCAAAATTGAGTGTGGTGCTAGTGGAAGAATAGCTTCCAAGTGTGTATAGGGTACCACAGGCCATAAATGCATTGGCCACTGAATTTTTGCGAATTGTGGTTTCCCAGCTCTGCTTCACCTCTAACGTTTTTGGATCTAATTTTGATATAACTATAGATCCTTTAGCTTTATCTGTGCTATAGATAACCCATAGCCCCATCTCATCTACAGCCAGATCAATATCTGTATACCCTCCCCAAGAGTAAGGGTGCTGTCCATGATATCCAGCATCTGGAAGCTCTTTCTGAATTGCAATGGTCTCTGTCTTGAAATCATACTTGACTATTATTCTAGACTTTCGTCGTACATAATAGAGGGAACCTTTGTAGATTACAGCACCATTGCTTTCCATGGAGCGAGGTACTACATAGACCTTGGATGGATAACCTTTTACTAACTGGTCAAGATTTTCATACTCAAACAAACACTTGGCGTATATCTGCTCCCACTGTATTTATCCGCCAGATAGTGTCCTGATTAAATGGAGAAACTGCTTCTGGGTCTCTCATCCAGACTCCATATTTGCCAGCAATGTTGTCAGCCTTTCGGTATGTTGTTGGTTCTCCAACCCAGGTAAGTTCACCGCAGCTTCCTGAAAGTAGCAGGTATAGATACAATAAGAAAAAACATTCAGACTATATTGTAAATATTAGTATTGTTTAAAAAAACAGAGTTTTTGTTTAGTGCTGAAATCTCAATTTAAGAATATGTTACCCCAACAGTTCATATTCCTGAAATGTATCTGTTGTACTATTTATCCTGTTCTCTTTGTATTTCTTCCTTTGTGTTAAATACCTGGTATTCCTGCCAGTCCCCCTGCTCTTCTATCTCAAACTGACCACGCTAGGCTTGACAGCACATTCCTCCCAGTGTGGTCAGTTTTCTGGTTGTACTGGGAGAACAGCCTGCCTGTTCTCCACTGGTAAGACTTGTGCTGACATGCCTCCCTGTGCATCAATTCACTGGGAAGATCAGCGTACTGCTGTTTTTCAACCCCCACCACTCTAAGCTTCTTAGGTCCCTTTCGCACTGATGGTCTGATCTGGTTTGCCTGTCAGTTTTTTTTAGGCGGACCCGATCGGAGCACCTATAGTTCTCTATTGAGCGGCGGGTGTCAGCTGTCACCTGCCGGCATTTGATCTGATCCTGTATGCTAAAAACTGACGGATGAGGATCAGATGGAAACGGAGAGGCGGTCTGTTTCCTTCTGACTACCCCATAGAGAACAGCAGGCTGTGTCAGTGTCCACTCTGCAGAGCGTACATGGATCTGACATCTGCCTGCTCAGCCAGAATCAGCAGAGAGAACAGATGTCATGTGATCACTTACATAATTGTTTTGCCTTTCATTTCTAGTTTAAACTGAATGGGGTGTTTTTACAAGGTTCACATATACTTAACATTTCAAGTCCTGAGCTGCTAGCCAGGCCTTAAAGAGTTAATCGCCACCAGTTACCCTCCCCTAATTCTGCCCGTAAACATGCCCTCGTAGATTATCTCATGAAATTACACTGTTAAATGTTACCCACATTATATCAGGGTCCCCAGAGTCCCCCCATATTACATCAGGGCCTCCAATGTCCCCCTAAGCACTACATCATACTTAGACCATGCACCGTATACAACCATAACCCACCATAATCTCTCACTCACCAAACCATAACTCTACCAAGCATATCCTACCTTCTATCCAACCCAGCAATACCTCAAATGCCCCATACTCTACCACCCATAATAACCACATCATCCTGAACCTGACCATACCATCCATACATGTATGCTTAAACACACATACATACAGACACATGTACACACTCACACACACAGAAACATGTACATACACACACAGACATAACACACACGTACATACACACATGTACATACACACACAGCCCAGTATAAAAAGTTGCAGTACAGTACATAATTTTCGAGGAGGCGAGTGGAAATTTCAAGGCCTGCTTTAACTATCCCAGAAAACGATTGCTCTGAATGTAACTCTTGTATTTTGGAAATGTGAAATAAATGTTTTAAAAATTTGTGCTTGAAGAAATATGGGTAATTCCAGAAAATGTAATATTCTTACCACCCATTCTAGTATTCTGCAAACTCTGATCAGTTGATTGATTTTCTGCCATCATTCTTGAAGCTGGAAGTGCTGTAAGTTCTGATTTCAGCTCCTGGTAGCCTACACCATCTGCACCCCATGGAGACACTATAAAGTGAAAATCCATAACATTTAGGCAATTTTAATGTATCACTAATGTCAGTTTTGTATTACTCTAGTCACACCTACTGCATTAGAATTTAATTTTCTTTTATTATTCTTTGCAATTTGTTTATCACTATAGTAATTTAATATTTTTTCCCTCTTGGTATAGTAAAAAGGTTATCTTGGCTGTGTCGTATTTTATTGAAATCCATTCCATCTCGGTGATTAGAGATTAATTTCCCTTTACTAAATACATGAATAACTCCTCATGTTTTAGGATGTTCTTCACCTTGTACAGGTGATTTTATTTTCTGTTGCTGTCTCAGTAAATACTGCAGCTGTGCGTATTGAGCTGTACAATGAAAACATAACTTGTTGGGCTTACTTACTTTAAAAAGTTTAGAGACCCCTGTCCTAGACCCATCTGTACTCCATTTTTCAACATAGGACCAGACTTTTGGGGACCGGACTGTGGCCATTGGGAGTAGAAATTGTCCTGGCATCAGTGGGAGTAAACAACACATCTTTGGCATTAGGGGGAGGAATAGTACACCTTCATTGGTGTAAGTGGGAGGAATAGGGCCCAATTGTTCGTGTCAGCCGGAGGAATAATGCCCAGTTGTGTTAGTGGGAGGAATAGTGCCCAATCATTGGTGTCATTTTGAGCAATAGTGTCCTATTGTTGGTGTCAGTGGGGGGAGGGATAGTGCCCCATCAATGGTGGTATCAGTGGGAGGAATAGTGCCCCATTGTTGGTGTCAATAGGAGAAATAGTGCCTCATTGTTGATGGCAGTAGCAGTATTTATGCCCCAATGTTGGTGTGAGGAAAGGAATAGTGTCTTGTATCAGTGGGAGGAAAAGTGCCCAGAGGGCCAGATAAAGGCAAGCAAAGGGCCACATCCGGTCCCCTGGCTGCAGTTTGGAGACCACTGGTTTAGGATATAATTGGGAAAAAAAGTATGAAAATGTAGTGAATATTTACAAATACAGTATGAAACATAAAATTGTCAAAAAAAATATAAAAAAAAAAAAAAACCACTGAGGAAAGACCATTCTCACAGATTTACAATTTGTTTTCGCTGACTGTATATTATGGTCTTTAAGATATTTAAAGTCTTTCTAAAATCCTATTGTACAGTGATATGTAGCTATAACTAAACCAAAAGTGTGTGTGTGTGTATATGCATGTGTGTGTGTGTGTGTGTGTGTGTGTGTGTGTGTATGTACAGTTGCAAGAAAAAGTATGTGAACTCCTTGGGATTACGTGGAATTTTGCATGAATTGGGCATAAAATGTGCTCTGAACGTCATCTAAGTCACAACAATAGAAGAACACAGTCTGCTGAACATAATACTACGCAAACATTAGATGTTGCCATGGTTAAATTGCACATTACATGTAAACATTCACAGTGCAGGGAGGAAAAAGTATGTGAACCTTTGGACTTAATAACTGGTTGACCCTCCTTTGGCAGCAATAACCTCAACCAAACGTTTCCTGTAGTTGCAGATCAGACCTGCACAACGATCTGGAGTAATTTTGGACCACTCCTCTTCACAAAACTGTTTCAGTGTAGCAATATTCTTGGGATGTCTGGTGTGAATCGCTCTCTTAAGGTCATGCCACAGCATTTCAATCGGGTTGAGGTTAGGACTCTGACTGGGCCACTCCAGAAGGCGTATTCTGTGCTGTTGCAGCCATTGTTTTGTTGAATTACTTGTATGCTTTGGGTCGTTGTCCTGTTGCATCACCCATCCTCTGTGGAGCTTCAGTTGGCGGACAGATGGTCGTATGTTTTCCTGCAAAATGTCTTGATAAACTCTGGAATTCATTTTCCCATCAATGACAACAATCTGTCCAGGCCCTGAGGCAGCAAAGCAGCCCCAAACCATGATGCTCCCTCCGCCATGTTTTACAGTGGGGATGAGGTTTTGATGTTGGTGTGCTGTGCCTTTTTTTTCTCCACACATAGTGTTGTGTGTTCTTCCCAAACAACTCAATCTTGGTTTCATCTGTCCACAGTATATTTTGCCAGTAGTGCTGTGGAACATCCAGGTGCTCTTTTGCAAACTTCAAACGTGCTGTAATATTCTTTTTGGACATCAATGGCTTCCTCCGTGGTGTCCTCCCATGTACTCCATTCTTGTTTAATGTTTTCCTTATTGTAGATGTGTCAACAAAAATGTTAGCATGTGCCAGAGATTTCTGTAGGTCTTTAGCTGACACTCTGGGATTCTTCTTTACCTCATGCAGCATTCTGCGCTGTGCTCTTGCAGTCATTTTTACAGGACGACCACACCTAGGGAGAGTAGCAAAGTGCTAAACTTTCTCCATTTGTAGACAGTCTGTCTTACCGTGGACACATGAACATCAAGGCTTTTGGAGATACTTTTGTAACCCTTTCCAGCTTCATGCAAGTCAACAATTCTTGATCGTAGGTCTTCTGAGAGCTCTTTTCTACAAGGCATGGTTCACATCAGACAGTGCTTCTTGAAACCAGTAAACCCAAAACAGGTGTGTGTTTTTTAAGGGCAGGACAGCTGTCAGCAACACATCCAATATCATCACACTAATTGGAGTCAAGGTTGGCTCACTCCTGGCTCCAATTAGCTCTGGGAGAAGTCATTAAGCTAGGGCCTCACATACTTTTTCCTCCCTGCACTGTGAATGTTTACATTTACACATGTTATGTGCAATTAAACCATGGCAACATCTAATGTTTGTGTAGTATTATGTTCAGCAGACTGTGTGTTCTTCTATTGTTGTGACTTAGATGACGTTCAGAGCACATTTTATGCCCAATTCATGCAAAACTCCACGTAATCCCAAGGGGTTCACATACTTTTTCTTGCAACTGTGTGTGTGGGTGTGTGTGTGTGGTGTGTGTGTATATATATATATACTCTCCATAATTTTTTTACATACATATATACAGTATTGTGCAAAAGCTTTAGGCAGGTGTGAAAAATGCTGTAAATTAAAGTGTTACTAAACCCACAAAAAATCAGTCTGTATATGCAGTAAAGTATGTTTGTCATACTCACTGTGGTACCTAAGGGGTTATCCTCCACAATGTGTAAAAAGACTGTTTGATCCTGAGTTCTTCTGATCCTCTCCTTTTACTGTCCCTAATTGATATGCTGATAGTACAGAGCTCTAGGAATCACTCTGCACATGCTCAGTTTGCTGTGTATTGCTAAAGAGTTTTTTGTTTCTTTGGGAGGGTGTATGGAATCAACACAGGGCCAATCAGCACTGTCCAGACAGAGGGTCAAGAGTTATGAAGACTCATAGGACAGTCAGAGGAGAATGAAAAGTCTTTCTACAAGCTTTAATCAGTGCTCTGCTGGACGCTGACAGAAGTCACAAGACTGCTATATACTGCTCAGGAGAAAGGTTATTTAGCAATTTTTATTTGTTAAAATAATTGCATTTCCATGTTCTGTGGGAGACCAGATATAGTGAATGCAGGGTCATGGGTTTAATAGCACGAAGAAGGTTGTCAGAAATAGAAGTGCTAATAGCTTATTTTTTTCAGTAAACGAAATAGAAAGTAAATGAACAGAAGAGAAATCCAAAACAATATTTGGTGTGAGCACTCTTTGCCTTCAAAACAGCTAGGTACACTTGCACACCGTTTTTGAAGGAACTCTGCTGGAAGGTTGTTCCAAACATCTTGGAGAACTAACCACGGATCATCTGTGGATGTAGACTGCCTCAAATCCTTCTGTCTCTTCATGTAATCCCAGACACACTAGAGGATGTTGAGATCAGAGCTCTGTGGGGGCCAAACCATCACTTCCAGGACTCCTTGTTCTTCTTTATGCTCAATATAGTTCTTAATTACATTGGTTGTATGTTTGGCATCATTGTCTTGCTGCAGCATAAGTGTGGAGTCAATCGCACTCCTCCCTGATGGATAAGTATCTGCCTGTATTGCTCAGCATTGAGCACACCATTGATTCTGACCAAATCTTCAACTCTGTTGCAGAAATGCAGCCCTAAAATTGCAAGGAACCACCATTATGCTTCACTGTTGCCTGCAGATACTCATCTTTGTACTGCTCTCCAGTCCTTTGGCGAACAAACTACCTTCTGCTATAGGCCAATTATAGCCAATTATTTCAAATTTTGACTCATCAGTCCAGAGTACCTGCTGCCATTTTTCTTCACCCCAGTTCCTATGTTTTCATAAATAGTTGAGTCACTTAGCCTTGTTTCCATGTTTGAGGTAAGTCTTTTGGCCAGAATTCTTCCATGAAGACCACTTCTGGACAGACTTCTCTGGACAGTAGATGGGTGTACGTGGGTCCCACTGGTTTCTGCTACTTCTGTGCTGATGGCACTGCTAGACATTTCCAATTTCAAAGGGAAGTGAGCATGAGGTGTCTTTCATCTGCTGCATTAGGTTTCCTGACAACCACTGCACGGACCTCAGCTTTGTCCATTTCTTTGTGCTTTTGCAAAAGAGCTTGAACAGCACATCCTAAAACCTGAGTCTGCTTTGAAATATTTGCCTAGGAGAAACTTACTGATGCAGTATAACTACCTTGCGTCTTGTTGCTGTGCTCAGTCTTGCTATGGTGTATGACCTGTGACATGAAACTGTCTCACCACAGTAGCAGAGTATGGCTGTTCCTCACCCAGGCTTAAACCTCTTCCATTTCTGTTTCAATTAATGACTGTGTTTCAACCTACATATGAAATTGATGATCATTAGCACGTACTCAGTATAATTGTTAATCATACACCTGCCTATAATCCTACAAAATCCCTGACTTTGTGCAAATGTAAGAATTGATCCTGGTTTGAAGCCAAAGGGTAGTCACACCAAATATTGATTTGATTTAGATTTTTCTTCTGTTTCTTCTTTGCATTTTCTAAATTGATAAAAATAAGCAATCAAAATATATATATTGAAAGCATTCTTACGTTACAGCATTTCTTTCCTGACTAAACGTTTTTGCACAGTACTGTACAGTTAAGTGTTATTATCCCTGTTACCTGCTACACATGACTCCACTTTACAAACATGGATGGAGCCAAGTAAACAAATATTAAAGCCAAGTATATTACTGGAAAGGCATCAGCAACCCTGCCACAAACCTATCAATAAAGGTAACTTACAGTCTGCTGTTCTATCTCTTACTGCTACAGAGGATGTTCTACCTCCAGCTCCAGGAGTTTCGGCAGGTGACGGTCCTGTAAAAATCAGAGCACAACCAAATAGAATTAAAGAACTCAAAAGTGTTTATGTACAGTTATGAACCGTGCGATTGTTGAGATCATAAAATATAATTTTATAACAATTTTTTTCTTCATATCTAAAGCTGTAAGGACTGCTAATATTTAACCCAGTTGGTCTCCATAGCTTGCCAACCAAATTAGACTGTTGTTTGTATTTGCCTTGCTTTAAGATACATTTATAAGGTTTTCCCATGTGTTCAGAGAAGAAAAAAATACTTTTTTTTGTTTGTATAGATATGAAATGTTGCATTTTTATTTGCAGCCTTCGAGTGGCGTTCTAGGCTCCTTTTTCACTTGTTTCCCAGACTAATCACAATGAAAATGCAGCACTAATCTACACAATAGAAACTTCACCATTGTTTCACATTAGATGTTTATAATGTCAAATGCATGTGCCACTTTTTCTCATGCACCTTGCAGCTCCTGGTCTTCAGTGGGCCAATCATCATACAATGTAAAAGAAAAGAGACCTAGAGTGCACTGGCACAGTGAAGATAGTATGAACTTAAAAAAAAAATAAGTCTTAAAAATATGTAATCACGAGTATTGTAAGCAATACACAGAAAATTACAAAAAAAACCTCCCTCCATTTAAAATGCTACACTTGGCAGAGCTCCAGGGCGAGTCCACACTAATGCGTTTCTAGGGCCACACCCTCTTCCTAAGAGATGACAGTAATCAGACACATCCCTTTCTTAAAGCTAAACTCCTCCTCCTCTTTTGTGGGCAATATGTGCAAGAGAGGCATATGGAGGACAAGACAGTGAGCAGATTGTGTAGCAGTGAGGTCTGGAGGTATAAGAGGTGCAGTATACACCGGCGAGCATTGTGAAAAGAACAGCAGACTGTGCAGGGGAAAAGTGTGGAATATATGACAGCAGGGAGAACAGTTTACATTTGGACTAACAAATGATGTTTACTGATCTTTCTATGATTAGCAAAAAATGAATTACAAATATGGTCATAGTCATAGAGATGAAAAACAGGAGTTGAGAAATGGTGCCACAAAAAGCATTTGGAACCTACTTGCAAGATCAATAAATAATAGAGCTATAGCACCTAAACCAACCTCTTTAAAGAGGAGGAATAGAGGTTAAAATCAGTGTCGGGTCAGGAAACTAGCCACTAAAATTGAAGTTGGTTGTTTGTACCTTTTCTAGCAAGGATGCCCCCTTCCTCCTGAACCATACCGGGTAACATGCCCTGCAGAAGAAAAAAAAAAACAATGTGGGATCCCTCTTATAATCCAACCTGATCCCTATGTCAGATAGGGTTCTGGTATGGGTTTTTAAGGGGGGGACTGCAAAGGATGGATCCTATGAAACCACAAATCTATACAGACCTGCTGGTATTGGAATGACCGGCAGTCTCACCCTGGACTCCCCCCCAGACCTGCCAACACAAACATGATGACCCCTAGTGACAGTTCTGCCTCTCAGAACTCCCATGGCAAATGAGGGCTCCTGAGTCAGCAAGTCATGAGCAGGGGTGGACTGACCATTTGGAAACTTGGGCACTGCCCGAGGGCCCGGGGTCAGTAGGGAGCCCCATGAGATGCCCCTGGTACCTTTTTCATAGGCTTTTTTGAGTTTGGGCAAGGACACAGGGGCCCCATGATCCCCTATTGCCCGAGGGCCATATGAGTTGTCAGTCTGCCCCTGCTCAAGAGTGAGGTCTTGTTCACACCATACATGCAGAAAAATGATGGAAACTGATGTGCAGATTTCACTTGCAGATACATCCGTTTTCATGCGCTCTCCAATGAGTCTTATACACGCTGCAGGTTCCTCTGCAGGAAAATCTGCACATGATACAGGGCGCATATAGAACAATGGATTTTGTTCTGCCCTTGCACAATCCGTGCAGAAAAACTTAGGTCTCTGCACCATGTTGTGAATGAGGCCTAAATGTCAACAAATCGCTGGGCTGATGTAATTGTCATGACCATATTTAGCCAATAATGTCACCTGAGAAATCTGCTTGGCAGCTTGTTTACAATTTGAAACAATCCACCTGGTAGACACCCAGAGACCTCGTTTAGTGGTGGTAGTGATTAATACCACCACTGAGTGATTGACTTCTGGCTGCAGCATCTGGAGGTTGGGAGGGGCGGGCCAGCTGGCCATTTAGTTTGCCTATATGATGAACTGTGAGCAGCTTGAGTTTGGGTCACAGTCGACTGAATCCAAAGCTTGTTCTTAGTTTTGTTTTTCGTTTTGCTAGCTAACACCTTTGGATATATATTTTAAAGACTTATTTAATGATGTTAATTTTATCTTCGTGATGCCAGTGCATGCTGGGGGTCTCATTTCTCCTACATTGTTTTTGCTAGACTACCCTTTATCTGCTTCATTTTTTTTTTTTTTCACTAAGCTCACTTTATACACAACAGAATAGCTCAAACTCAAATGTAAAAACATGCTTACGGGGAAATAGGGTATTTTTCAAAATGTTTTCTACTGTTTTATATTTTTCATTACTTTTATTTAGCCCTCTTTTGGGTTGTGAAAGGGCTGCAAGGATTTCCATGCCAGGTCAGCTTTAGAAAAGTAATGAATACTTCACATGACTGAAACTCAAATTAAAAGCCTGGAGTACCTAAACATTCTCTCTGCATCAGAAATTTATTTTTTAACCATTTCTGCAAACACTTCATATTCCAGAATTTGTCTTTACATCTACACTGTAAACATCCAACAAAATGGATTATTTAGTTGTGTAGCACATTCCTAGATAGCAAGGCAGAGCTAGATTCTAAACTGTTAGTCAGATGTTAAATAGCAGCCTGTGGTAATAGTCAGAGGGAGGTCAAAGTCAGGTCAGAGCTGAGAGGCCCTGAAGATCAGCCCTCTGGAACTTCCTCCTGCTCTAGAGTTTTGAAGAAAATTCTAGAGGCTGTGAGGAGGAGGTAAGGAGTGGCTGGTCTGCACTCTTGAGGGATCCTGACCAATCCCCAACAGGAGGCTTGGCATGGGGTCAGGACAGCCCTTAAGATTGACAGAGTTTCCTCAGCAGCAGGAGAGTTTGGGTAAAAGATGGAGCAGTGAGAGGCTGGAGACCAAGAGCCTGGGAGGGATCCAAGATTAGAAGGGACTCACCTACAGGCAGGGAAGCTGGAAAGGAGAAAAGCTCAGGACCTCATTGGCCACCAGAGCGAGGACCACTTATATAGCAGTGAAGGAGTGGCCCAGCAGAAGGCCTGAGAGCAGCCACCAACCCAGCAGCTCATAGGAGGAGGACTGATTGAGTAGACATGCACTCCCTGGGGCAATAAGGGGAAGGAGCACTCTGGTGGGAAACTGGATTAGTTGCTACCCGGGACTGCCTTACCCTTAAAGTGACAGGCACTGCATCCCCTGCCCAGAGATTCACCCAGAACAGCTGGATAGAGGAGTATCCAAAGTCTGAGGTGGTACTACAGGAGATGCTGGCTAGCTCTCCAGAAGGAAATCTTTGCTGGTAAGACACTTGTATATAGTTCTAGGACGTTTGTCCTCTGTTGCCATTTCCCTTGGGCATCCCATACACTCCTTACTCCATTCAAGTTTAAATTCCCCTAATAAAATCCCCCCAAAAAACATGCTCAAGGACTGGTTACTGTCTCCTGGATGCAAGTCTAAATGAAAAAATGCCTGTTGCCTGCCTGTGCAGGAGTATAGGGGGACCCAAACTTCAGCAATTCCTACAGGGGGGTAGTGTGACAGTTGTCATCCAAACAATCAGAAAATAAATTAATGTTCAAGCAGGTTTGGCATCTCTGTGATGTATGACAGAGGATTTTATGTGCATTCTGAGGTTTCCTGACATTTCCAAAGTAGTTTTTATGTGACCAAAATGCCATTTCTACACCGTGCATGCTCTCAAATCGGACTGAAATATATCACTTGCCAGCCATGATAAGTGGCTAAACTGCAATGAACATTGCTAATCACAAGATTTCAAAAGAGTTGCCATACTCTACTGCTCTGGTACACCAGCACTATGCTGCTAACATGCTATTGATGACACACATCTCACAAGATCAATGCAATCCTGTGACCATAACAATCTCAGCCCATACTGCTTACACTAAACCTCTGTTACCAATGGCGTAGAGTGGGTTGTAAGTGCCTAGGGCAGGGCAAGTCATTTGCGGCCTCTAACCCATGGTCTTTTAGCACTTTCTGAGTCCCTTCCATTATGGGGATACATCAACTGTACGAACACAGCCGCAGGTTGTAATTTGACAGGTGTGTGGGTGCAGGTGTACAGCTCCAAACTGTGCTGTGTTCATATAGCCGCTGCATCCTCACCGAGTAACAGCTGGCTCCAGCAAACTGCTTATTCACAATGTATGGGCCAGAGAACCCATGTGAATGAGCCCTTAAATTTTTAAATTGTCTATTACAATTTTATTAAAATTGATTGTTTTACGATGTTTCAAAAATATTTTTTAGAATTTTATCTTTTAAATTTTTAAATTTAATTTTTTACAATGCTATTGGGAGGGTGGTGGTTGGGGGTCTTTGGTGGGACATCAAGGGTCTAAAAAAAACCCTGACATCTCACCTTTGAGACAGAAAAAAGAATTGAGGACACATACTCTTCAATTCCTTTCATTGAATGCTGATATGCATATGAATGAACAGAAGACAGGGGCTCCTGCTGTTCATTCATAAATCGAAGCATAGTAAACTGTTTACTATGCTCAGTTATCAGTGGACACAGGAGTGATCGGTACCGATCGCATACTATGTCCACTATTTGACTAAAGGAAGGGGCCAGTAAATTACATATTTACTGGTCTCTTCCACCACTCTCCATCCTGACAGATGCTCCTGTGTACCCACAGCCCCTGGTGGTGGGACAGTGAAGACGGCAGAGCTGTGGGGGGCACACACGGGGGGGGCACACAGGAGGAAAGCCAATGTAGGCAGGAGAGGGAGGGGGATCAGTTTGGTGGGGTGGGACTGGGA